GTGACCCAAACTCAGTCATCTGGTTCTTCAAGCCAATATGACTAGAGCCGGCTTTCTGGCTAATGGCCATTAAAAAGTGAAGACTCGCACAGTGCCGTTCTCTTCCTCCTAGTGTCAGCTCCCTCCAGAATCTGACTGCTCTGGCTTGCTCTCTTGTGCTGTCACAGAGTTGTTTCTTATGTCCATTGTCGCTATCTGCAAGGGGGTTGGTCAAATAGGAGCTTCTTGAACTTGCCAGGAATAGAAAGAGGTAACCATTTTAAAGTAAGATTTTAGTATAAATCACTTTTTTTATATAATTTTGAGGTGGGTAACATCACAACCGAACAAAAGTGCATTATTTCCTACAGTTTGAGATACATAATAGAGAAATGTGGTTTTGATGTATTCATGAAACTAGATATCCAGTCTGCTGTGCCTGTTTATAAGAGAAAAAGAGGGGCCGGCCCCGTGGCTTAGCAGTTAAGTGCGCGTGTTCCGCTACTGGCGGCCCGGGGTTCGGATCCCGGCCGTGCACCGATGCACCACTTCTCCGGCCATGCTGAGGCCGTGTCCCACATACAGCAACTAGAAGGACGTGCAACTACGACATACAACTATCCACTGGGGCTTTGGGGCAAAAAAAGGAGGAGGATTGGCAATAGATGTTAGCTCAGAGCCAGTCTTCCTCAGCAAAAAGAGGAGGATTAGCATGGATGCTAGCTCAGGGCTGATCTTCCTCACAAACAAAATAAAGAGAGAGAAAAAGAGCAGAGGCATATATTGGAACAGTGTGGGTATGGCATTTAACCTCTAGGTCAGCCAGATACAAATATGCCATCCCCAGCTTCATCTCAAGTCTACAGACTTGTTTTCTGCAAAGATACAGGGAGGTTTTTTTGTTAAAAGATCACTTCCATTCCTTTCTGGTGAGGCAATGTTGGGTAATTATAAGAGATTAAGTTGCAAAACTGGTATTCCCATGAACTTGCCAAAACAAGCCTTTTCCCTCTCGGCTTTTTTTCTTTCTGATTTCTTCCTGCTTTTTCTCTGGATAGTTTCCAGATTAGCTTAAGTAGCTATGAGCCCAGACTGATTGTTATGTCCAAAGCAAATTTTGTGATGTCATCATAAAATTATTATGTTTAGGGGATTAAAGTCCAGTCTTTAAAAAAAAATAAAAGTTATTTAAGCAAAGAGTATTTCTTATATTTAAAAAGAAGAAATGTTTTATAGTTTAAAGAGTTTATTTATTTTCTTTCCCCCCAAAGCCCCAGTAGATGGTTGTATGTCATAGCTGTACATCCTTCTAGTTGCTGTATGTGGGACCCAGCCTCAGCATGGCTGGAGAAGCGGTGCCTCGGTGCGCGCCTGGGATCCGAACCTGGGCCACCAGCAGCAGAGCGGGCGCACTTAACCGCCAAGCCACGGGGCCGGCCCAATATAGTTTAAAGAAAAGAATAGTAGTATAGTTACTTTCAGGAGAAATGCTACAGAAATGAAATAGATAAAAATAGTCATTTGTTTCCTAGTAGTATATAAGGCAGGTAAAAGTACAGAACTAACGTTTACTTGAAGGTTTTACTGGCTCTTTCCACTTACTTTATTTCTGCATCCTAACAATGGCTAGGACAGGCAGTCTTATTCTCGTTTATGAATGAGGAAACAGGTTGAAAATAGGTGAGGCGCCTGTGGTTACACGGCACAGCAGAGACGCAGCTCGCAGCTGTTGCTCTTTCTTGTGGGAGAGCTTGAGTGGCTCGATTATCAGCCACTCAGGGCTGACCGGCCTTTCCCACTGTAAAACTTTCTGTTGGAGATTTGTTTTTATATCTTAGCTGGGGACTAGAAACAAGGAACTTATTAGAACACTTTCTTGCTCTCCGTGAAAATATCTTAGAAGTGAAATCACATTTTGTTGCTCCAGAACGGAAATTGAATAAGATCTCTCCATGCTAGCTCATGGAGGTTGTGAGACCAAGTTTCTCAGGGAGTGCTGCAGGCCAGGAGGAAACAGTCAGAGCAACCCTTACAATTTTTTATGTCCTTTTCCTCTGAATTGATTACTTGGATGACTTTTTCTGTTAAAGTGAGGAAAGTAAACTAACATTAAATAAAGTACTCCTTTCACTCCTTCACGATGCTCTTCCTAGGTGGACCTCCTGGGTAAACAAAGACATGATTATCACGTGTTCTGATGTTTGTTAAATAAAGTCTTAGCTTTTATTATTTCATCGGTTTGCAAGTTTAAGACTTAGAAACCACCATCCCAGGAAAAAACATGAGGGCTCGTTGCCAGTTCAAATGTCCCATTAGGACATTTGAAAGCTAAAAGCTTTCAAATGGAATGTATTGCTACTAAAAATATTTGTAGTTTGGGAAAATATGTTTAAATTTGACCTCCTTGACACTCTGCACATTCTAGTTGATTGCTCTGGGTTCTTCAGCTGCTGTGAAGAGAAAAGTGCAGCGATCTCTCCATGTGCGCTCTTAGTCCGTCTATGGAATGGTCTTCCCATTGTAAAAACAGATATTTCCTGAGTTATTTATATTCTGGACTACTTTGAGCAACAAATTATGATTTCTCAGAAGCATTTTGACATGTTGTTTTTGGTATGAGAATGAAGTGCTGAGATTGAAGGAACTCGCTTCCCGGTTATCACTGCATTCTTTGAGGAACAAGACTGGCATGTTCAGTTAAAGAAATATTGAAGTGCCTATCGTGTGCAGATGCTCTACAGCTGACAAGAGAAATTGGATCCAAGTCTGACAACCGTGGGAAGTTCACGATCTAAGTCCCATAAAGCAGTGTGTGTTATTTATACATGGTAGTAGGTGATGAAGGGCTGAAGTGAAGGCTTCAGACAGTAAATTCAGCAGGTCAGAGAGTAAGGGAAAGTGAATGTGGGTGGACGAGTCAGGGCAGATGGAGCCTGAGAGGGGCTTCTTGTGGCAGAGGACCTCAAGTGACCTATTTGGAGTTTTCTCTGGATAACAGTAACGGTAAGATCAGGGTGGCCCAGTTCACAAAACAACCCCAGTGAAATAAATTGCCTTAATGAGGCCCATTTAAAACATAGTTCCCATTGCCTTAAAGAATCTCACACGTGGCCTTCTCATAGCTTGCATGTATTTTAATTATTTGAAGAAGTGGGAGAAAAGGAAAAAAACTTTTTCTTGATTTTTATGGACTTTTCAATTGCTTAAAACTGTGGAATTTTTGGAAATTCTGATTGAGGATTTATTATTTATTTTGAGGCTCAGGTGATTGAGAGCAGGGCACTGATAAACTCCTAACCAAAGATGGCCCCTCCCTCAGGCCAGTGGTCTCAGACTGGACTCCTGCTCCCAGTGGCCATCTCAAAGAAAGTGGCCTACAGTCCTTCCTGCTGAGAGTTCAGGCAGCTTGGTAACGGGCTCTTTTTCCCTGGGCAGTGGACTGATTGTGGCTTCACTCATCCTTTTGCCTGTCATTAGTAATACATATTGTGACCCACGATCTGTGCTAATTCCTGGCATGTGAGAATGGGCTGTCAAGTAGCAGCTCGCAGCCTCATGGGAGCAAAGGTCAGGCAAACAGACATTCACAGTGCCTTTAGACTAGAGTTACAATCCTTGGATGGCGGGGCCAGATTCCCAACAGTCCTGGCACGGCGTGCACCCCGCCGGTCTTGAGGGTGCCACTGAATTCTTAAGTATCGTTAAAGTTTCATGTTGTTTTCTCAGCCATGGTCATCTAGCTGGAGCAAGAAGAAAACCAAATCATATTTTGAGGAGAGGGTAGAACCTTTTGAGGAAAAGCTTTTCCCTAAAGTGCTAATATGATCATTAAGGAAAACGTTCCCTTTCCTTTTAAAAAAACAATCCCTTATGTCTGTCGTAATGGTTTGCTGATTCAGGGCAGTTATGAAATGAATTTTATCTGTCTTTTCCTGATTGAAAAGGTGATTGCATGAGTTAGGTTCTGTGAGAAACAGCACGCTCTAGCCTCTAGTCAGGCAGGAATGTCTTTTGGAAACAGTCGAGCAAATTCCCAGATTAGAAAGGGTCTGGTGCATCTGACCTCACTGTTTCATGAGTAATTCTGGGTGGTTATTTACTGCACTCTACCAGGAGGCTAGAAACTGTGAATGAGCTTCAGTATTAGAACCCGAGAGTTGCAGGCATGTAGGAAAGACCTGTTTGCCACAGGGAGGACGAAGGTTTCAAAGACCCGCCGCCCGCTAAGCCCTAGGGAATCCGTGTGGAATGGAAGTTAGCAAAGGCTGGCTCTGGCTGCATTCTCGGTAGTTTATATGATGGCAGACGTCCAAGACTAAGAAGCCGCATAGCAGTCACTGAGGAGCGGCGGCCGCAGCGGCCACAGGATTATGTGGGACGGCAGGATAGCCTCTGAGTAGTCAAGCGGTGGTAAGTAGCAGTGTTACTAACTACGGTGTTTCTAGTTTAAAGCAACCAGTATTTTCAGAAGTACTTGTAAATACTGTTGCATATTTTCTTATTTTCCTGCTGAGATAATGTACTGGTTAAGCTGAAAGTTAGTAGGAAGATTGTAGTGAGCAGTTTAGGAGATTGTTAGCCAGATTGCTAATTTGTCACATAATGTGCTGATGTGGTTGCATTATGTGGGGGCCTGTGTTCATGTGAAGACTCTGCCTGAGACAGGTCTGTGCTTGACAAAGTGCTGCTTGGGATTTCTCAGGGTAATTCTGTTCTGCTCAAAGTAGACTTTGGCGTGCACACATTCCATCTTGCCTTGTCTTTGATTTTCTACAACTTCTCCTTGTCTTACCAGCTGTCCTTTTCTTACCTATGGCTGTGCTGTAAACGGACTTGCTATTTGGACCAAGGCTGTTCTAGAATCATTTTGTAAAGAGTTAGAAACCTGAACTTCTTTCCCTTTCTTTATCATCATCTGCTTTTAGCCAACTGGTGCTCCTTTGATAAGTCAGGGTGGGGCCTGGTGTGTGCTAACTCGCTCTGGTTGTCAGCTCCCCTTAAACCATGTATTGTCTCTCTAGCACAATCCTGGAGGAGGAGAAGGTGCAGCAAGAAGAACGGATGCGGATGGAGTCCAGAAGACAGGTCACAGTGTCCTGGGACTCCGGAGGGTCCGATGAAGCGCCGCCCAAGGTAGCAAAGGCCCCCACCCCAACTTTGGCATTACTCTTACTAACTTTGGAGGTTTATGGTGGAGGCAGCTGCTGTGTATGGAGAGAAAACCAAATATCAGGTTACGCTAAGAGCAATCATTATAGCACCAACTATTGTTTCTTACTTGCTCCTCTGCGTAGTCCCCTCACGTGCACTCGTTTTCCTGATTTGCATTTCAGCTCTAGGCTGTGTAAGTAGTGAACGATTGGATTAGGTGTAATCTTGACATGCTCTTCCTTGTCATCCTCCACGCTCCTCCCCCACTCGTCAGCCATAAATGAGCAGCCTGGCTTGGGGAGGTTTTTCCTTGGTTGGTTGTCAGGGACTTTGCTGATCATCAAGTCAAGATTAAAATATCAGATGGACTAAAACCAGGCCATGAATACTTCACATTTTGCTTTATTTTAAAATGAGTCACATTCCACCTGACCCTGTTCCTTTGGGTTTTATTTCATTTTGTTGAGAAACTGGTGTATATTTTCTGCCTTTGTCTTGTCTGTGGCTGGTGGCTGGGTTGTTGGTGTGGGAACTGGGAGCACATTGCATTAGCTTGTTAAGATCTGCCGGCAGCATCCTCAGGCCTTGCCCGGCCACTCCCTTCACATCCTTGACCTCCATTCTTCTGACCTCCAGGAGGCTGCCAGAGCCTCCCCTGGTGCTCACCTATGCTGTGGCTGGGGGTCTGGGCCATAGCTGGCCCTTAAACACTCTCGTTAGGTTAAGAATTCTTTGTACACCTTTTGCTCTTGACAGGATGGTATTTTCACACACTGGCTTACTTGCCACAAAAAATCCAGTTCAGATTGTTTTCTGGAAAGTAAATAGATAACAGCCTATATTGCAGTTAATAGTTACCGTACTTCTGTTTGATATTTCGTTAGCTAAAAATATATTAAGAAACTTTGACAATACTTCATTTTCTTTTTGAAAAATGCTCAGAAAGCTGTTATCACAAAGTGCTATTTAAATATCATACCCATTTTTTTTATCATGATGCCTGAAAGCTCCTGTTTTCTTGGTCGGTTTTAAACTGTGTAGCAGTAAACATTATCACACATTTAAAGTGGATGCAGATGATTGACACAGGTCTTCAGAATTTTAGAGGTGAGTGAAGGGTTCCGTCGTCCAGCCCCTCAACAAATAGGAAAACGGAGGCCCAGAGAAGGAAGGCCACGTCACCTGTCCATAGGTGTAACTTTGAGTGATTAGCAATGAAACCAGAACGTTTCTCTGTCTCTCCTAGTTTAACAACAACAACAAATCCTAGGTTACCCACAGAAAGACTTTGAACCCCTCATCTCAGCATCTAAGGCCCTATACTTCATATATACAAGTTTGCTAGTTTCTTAACTCAGTGACAAATGCAGAATAGTCCAGTACTGGGAAGCAGGAGAGTCTCAGAGTTAATTCTCAGGCCTAGAGGCCAAGTGGATCTGTTCACATGGGGCTCTGGTGACTGGGCAGGTTACCTGCCTGTTCCGAACCTCACTTCCCTCCTGTAGTGACAGGAGAGTGTTACTCTTCCCTACCTCTTAGGAGGTTGTGCATTCTCGGTACTCTAGGTAGTCACCGAAGTGTGAGGTACTGTAGTTATTTGGTGATGAGCACCAACTAATGCAGCATTCCCCTAAAACTCACAGAATTCAAGCACTTTTTCCATCTAAACATTTTTCTGTATCTCAATCTGTAGGATTTTTAATTTAAATTTTTTAATAACTTTGACTTGGCTAAATTTTGAAAGCTGTATTAGATTTGTGGATGGAGGTGATTAGGCTTTTTTCGTTTTAGAGTACAAAGACAAGTTCTGCTTAAATTTTTAAATATCCTCACTTTTTTTTCCTTTTTTGAGATGTTTTCAAAGTGCGTATTTTGAGGCTGTTTTATATAATCAGAGATTGTTCTACCCTTTAAAACAAGGGTCAGCAAGCTGTAGCCCACTGCCTGTTCTTGTTCAGGTTTATTGGAATGAACTCACCCTCACTTGTGTGTTGTCCACGGCTGGTTTCGCCCTCACAGACAGAGGAGTGGTCCCGTGACAGTGTGGCCCACAAAGATTAACATATTCACTCTTCGACCCCTCAAGGAAAAGGTTGGCAACCCTAGATTAAAAGTCCTAATGACTAGAAAGTCATCTCTAGTGTGAACACACCGATGCTTGATGACTGTGGACAGATACACTAATTCTTCTACTCCCTTGCTGGTCAGAATCAAATCCTGCTTGCAGATTTTACCTTCTCCATATTCCTCTTGAGAATCAAATCCTGCTTTTATGGTCACAGCATTTGACAAGTCTAAACTGAGTCCCTTGTTTCCAAGATGGCAGGCCAGTATTTCCTCTTGCAGTTTCTCTGCCCTGTGAAGTGAAAACTCTGGGTCCTTGTGAGTGTTTATAATTCTGCCTGTGGTATCTTAGGACAGCTAAATTCCACCTAGGTTTCTTTAATTCAAGTAGAGTCTCAGGCTTTTGTAGATAAATTTTGTGTACTAATAAATAAAATGTATAATTAGCTTAATTATTTTTTTAAAGAAAAATATTTTTCTCTCCCCTACTTGAGATTCAAACTTAAAAGCTTAATTATACTTAATGGCAAAAGCGTTATAGCCACAAAGCTAATTATTAAAAATATGTTACTATCTCTTCAACAGTACTGAATACCAATTTTTTTCCCATAATAATATTTGGAGAAGAGCCTGGCGTGGGAAGGGTCCCATTTAAGCCTCATTTCATTCATGCAAGTTGTCATCCTACAGATTCCCATTAGATCAGTGGAGAGCCTCAGGATAAAAAGATCTCGGGACAGCAGTTTTCAAAGTGAAATCCTTGGTCCTGGGGTCCCCAAGCCCATTTCAGAGGGCCATGAGATCAAAACTTGTTTCATAGTGATGTTAAGATGCCATGTGCCTTTGTCCACTGTGTTGACATTTGCACTGATGTTGCAAACGTGATGGTGGATAAAGCTGCTGTCACGTTGGCACAGATCAGGGCAGTGGCACCAGACTATGCTACTCGTCACTATATTCTTCACCATGTGCTCACACGATAAGAAAAGATGCCAGTTTGCTTAAGAGTGACCTTGATGAAGCAGTGAAAAGCTTCTGTGTGAGGAAATAGAAAGAACACATAAGGCTCTTTGCTGCACAGCAGACATGAGGCGTGTCTCCAGGGAGAGCTCTTGCTGTGTGACTGAGTGGCTAGCTACACTAGCCACTGTTTTCATGGAAGACCAGTTCTACTTAAAAGAAGAGCTGGCACACATACTCTAGTTGTTCAGAGTTGCACATTTGGTAGACATTTTCTCAAAAAAGAAAGATGTAAGACTATCTCTTCAAGGAAAACAACTGATCGGATTTGTTGCCCATGATAAAATGTGAGTTTTCAAGCAAAAATTAGAATTTTGAAAAACACATCCATCACCATGACCTTGACAGCTTCCCAGTTATTAGACTTTTCTGATGAGTTCAGGATGATATTAACAAATGTGATTTTTTTTCATGTTGTATACTAAAATGTGTCAATATTAGGAAGATCTGCATAACTCAGTGATCCCTGTTTTCCAAATGATCGGTCAGGATGTCACAAAATCACACTTGGGTAAAAGGCCCGTCTGCAGTACAAGACAGAGTAATGGATTATAATGTGGCAGAGAACACTCAGATTCCACATTGCAAGTCCTCTCTCAGAAACTGCCACTTGTTGAGCCTGGGTATAGTATCAAAAAACAATATCCGCAGTGGTGCCAAGAAGCTAGTGAAATACTCCTCCCTTTTCCACCTGCAAAGCGGTGTGAAGCTGGATTTTCTTTGTATGCAGCAGCAAAACAGCAGCACATCACAGCAGACTGAAAGCAGAAGCGGATACGAGAACTTGCTGCCCTGAATTAAGCCTGACAAGAAAGAGATTTAAACGGGCTGGCCCAGTGGCGCAAGTGGTTAAGCGCATGTGCTCTGCTGCGGCAGCCCGGGGTTCGCTGGTTCGGATCCCGGGTGCGCACCGACGCACTGCTTGTCGAGCCATGCTGTGGCTGCGTCCCATATAAAGTAGAGGAAGATGGGCACGGATGTTAGCCCCGGGCCAGTCTTCCTCAGCAAAAAAGAGGAGGATTGGCATTGGATGTTAGCTCAGGGCTAATCTTCCTCACAAAAAAAAAAAAGAGAGAGATTTACATAAATGTAAAAGGTGCCACCCTTCTCATGGATTTTTTTAGTTTTGAAAAATTGTTTTTTAAACATGGAATTAGTTTATTTTTGTGTCTTTTAATTTCTAATAATATAAATATTGGTAGACATATTCCAGATAAACAAAAGCTCTTGGAGTCCTCAGTAATTTTTGAGAATGTAAAGGGTCCTGAAAATAAAATGTTTGAGAGGAGCTGCCTCAGAACAGTATTTTTCAACCCTAATCGGACCCAGCCCTCCATTTATTTAACAGATATTTTATAATGTCCCAGTTAACTAATCCTGAAATAAAATACATAGTAAAATGACTTACTGATTTCAAAGTACCAGTACTGCCGGGACACCACTAACTACACAAGAGAAATACAAGTAATTTTTAATAACATTGTGCACACACGTGTATAAAATACTCAGGTCTGATTACACTAGGAGGCATGGTGAAATAGCCAGGTGCTCGCACCTGTGTGTGGACTCACCATGAATACAGCAGCTACAAATGCAGACCCCACAGCCACAACTGAATATGAATCTCATCCGTCTTGGTGATGTGATTTTGTAGCACGGTGAAAAGTCTTGGTAAAGTTCAAACAAAACAGTAAAATTGTCCATCAGTATACACAGTAGTTGCTGTTCTGAAAGTTCAGTGTCTGATAAACTATTCGAAGTATGATTTGTGTTCATATGTAAAACAGAGTTGGTTCTAGGTTCAGATGACAGGACTTGTTGAATCACCTACGTGAGGTTGGGGGAGAGATCTGAAAGTGGAACAGCTCCTGTTTGGACCCATTCTCTGACCCACCTGCCCGCCACCCCAAGTGCCGCTCGTCGTGATCATCTCGGGCACCCTCTCACAGACCCTGTACGCAGTCAAGAGTACCGCCACCCGGTTGAGAGCCACTAGTTTAGGATATTTCAGTTTTTCCTTTGTCTCTCCTCACTTGGGAGGATTTCAACAAAAATTCCCTCAGCTCCATAGTTTGCTTTGTTAAAATCCAAGTTTCTGTCTTTGAGGAGGAGATGTAGTGACCCTGCTAAATCGTAGTACTTAAGAGCAGGTGACACTTTTGGATACTTAGATGGAAGCCATTCTCAAAGAACTTGACCTATGTTAGCTTTATTTAGTCTTCATGACGGCCCTGTCCCTCTTTATCGTTGAGGATATGGAGGCACAGAGAGGTGAAATGCCCTCGACCATCTGGTTCAGAGCCTGCCCTCCTGACTGCCATGCTGAGTTCATATTTGTGGACAACAAAAGCAGAACTGTTTTAGCAATATATGTGCGTTCTCAAATACATTTGCTAATCTGTTGGTTAGCAAAATTTGATTTTGTGGTATTCTTTGTGCAGTAGTTTTGTCTGCCATAAAACGTGTTTTCATCTTTTTACCTGTTATTTTTATTTTGAAATGGAACCTTACAAGTGTTATCATTTGCTACCCATTTAAGTGTTTGACTCACTATGGGATGTTGTATAGAGATGTTGCCATTCTCTGATCAGTTCCTTTTGTATTTTCCTTTTTATTTGCTGAGTCAAAAGTGCACTTGTGGGCCGGCCCCATGGCTTAGCGGTTAAGTGCACGCGCTCAGCTGCTGGCAGCCCGGGTTCGGATCCCTGGCGCCCACCGCTTCTCCGGCCATGCTGGGGCCGCGTCCCACGTACAGCAACTGGAAGGATGTGCAGCTATGACATACAACTATCTACTGGGGCTTTGGGGGGAAAATAAATAAATAAAATCTTTAAAAAAAAAAAAAAGTGCACTTGTCATAGAGTAGCATCACCACACAGCAGATTTTGGAGTCAGGCAGTTCTGCCATTTCCAGCTGTGCAGCCTATTCACGTTACCTGACTTCTCTGAGCCTCAGTTCTATCCTCGGTAAAATGGAGCAATAATAGTGCTTGGTAGTCTTGCTCTCAGAATTATCAAATTGTATGTAAAGTACCTAGCTATGCGGGCCGGCCCTGTGGCTTGGTGGTTAAGTGCGCGCGCTGCGATGCTGGTGGCCCGGGTTCGGATCCCGGGTGCGCATCGAGGCACCACTTCTCCGTTCATCCTGAGGCCGAGTCCCGCATACAGCAACTAGAAGGATGTGCAGCTACGACATACAAATATCCACTGGGGCTTTGGGGGGAATAAATAAAATCTTTAAAGTACCTAGCTATGCACACAGAGATTTAACAGGCCCATAATAGCAGGGCTAGAGCAAGTATAGAAGTAACTGCAGTCCAAGTCAGGATTTGAACACGGGCTATGGAGGAGAGCAGAGGACCTGGGTTTCTGTTAGGTGGGAGAAATCAGGAGCCACTCCATGAAAGAAGTAACATGGGAGAGACTTAGGACAGGTGATCTACAGGTTGAGGTAGGAGACACTCCAGGCAGAGGGGACAGTGTAAGCAAAGCCTGGGGGAAATGAGACTGTTTTAGAGACTCAGACTTACTCTGACCTTAACTTGAGCAAAGTATGTGTTCCTCCAGGACCGTGTGTGTCCCTGGGAAAGAGACACAGGCACTGGGTTTTCTTTCCTCCCCAAGGCTTGCTGGAACCTAAAGCCACTTCCTTTCCTTCTGGTCTTAATTTGGTTGGCAAATAATGGGTTTTCACTTTACCTCAGGTTTAGAAGACTTGATTGACTTATCTGCTATTTCAGACTAAACCGTTCTTTTGCTATGAGCTTTAAATTCAAGTGTCTCACAAACAGAATGAGAATTTTAGAGCTGGAAGTGACTTTAGAGTTCCTCTAGCTCGGCTCCCATTTTGTGTATGAGGAAATGGAAGCCAGTCAGTTTACTCACTAGCCTGAGGTCACACAGCCAGTAAGTAGCAAAGCAAAATGAGCATGCAGCTCACCACACAGAAAGCATCCAGATTTGCATTCCCGTGATTACGAATGGTGTTGGGCATCTTTTCGTGTGCTTATTGGCCATCAGTATATCTTCTTTGGGTCTACTCAAGTCCTTTGCCCACTGTTTGATTAGATTGTCATTTTATTGTTGAGTTATATGAGTTCTTTATATATTCTCGATATGAATCTCTTATCAGGTATATGATTTGCAAATATTTTCTTCCATTCTGTGAGTTGTCTTTTCCCTTTCTTAATGGTGTCATTTGCAACACAAAAGCTGTTAATTTTGATGAAGTTCAGTTTATCTTTTTTTTTGTTTTGTTGATTGAGGTTTTGGTGTCCATTGCCTAACCCAAGGTCACAAAGATTTACTCCTGTGTTTTCTTCTAAGAGTTTTATAGTTTTAGTTCTTACATTAGACCTATGATCTATTTTGAGTTGATTTTTGTGTATGCTGCGAGGAAAGGGTCCAACTTCGTTTTTTCACATGTGGATATCCTGTTGTCCCGGCATCATTTGTTGAAAAGACGATTTCCCCCATTGAAATGTCTTGACTTTCCTTATCATTCTTTCCGACTAAGCTCTTTTAGAAATATATCTTTTTCTGTTCTTTTCAATAAAACATAAATTTACCAAAATAATCAAAATACTCATTCATATGATGCTCTGTTGATTTGTTCACAGCCCAGCAGACCTGGTTATCCTAGTCCAAGGTCCAGCGAAGGATTTTATCCCAGCCCACAGCACATGGTACAAACCAATCATTACCAGGTATACCAGTCGTCACAGATATAAGATGTATTTTATTCTTCAATACGTTTGGGGGTGGGGGGGTACAGTGTGTATATTTGTATTTTTTAATTTCTGTACTTATGAGTATGATTTGGCAAGCAGAAAGCTAAGAAAGTAGTCAGCCGCTTAATTGTCCAAGTGAATGATGTTTTGACATCCCTGTGCAGAGGGCTATAGTCACTCAGTCTTAAAGCCGTTGGGGCAAGTGACACATCTCCCACAGGTCTCAGGTCCCTTTTCTTCCTCTCTTCTGTTAAAGTGCAGGGCGAATCCCGTGGGCACACCTATGCAGAGATAATACTAAACTGGGTGGTTTTTCTGGAAAGCAAGAATAAAATTCAAAATTACCTTAAAAACCAGATGAGTTACCATATGGAACTGTGTGGAAAGAGTGTTACAGTTATAGACAAATAGCCTGTACAAATTAGAAAAGACTATCCTTGAAAGAAAGGACCAGAAGCAAAGTCAGTAGTTTTTTTTGTGCCTGTACTACAAATTGTTTATCCATAATAATGTTATTTTGATAATTAAAAAAAGAAATATGTCAAATAATTTACAAGAAATAAAATCATCTCTTGTCATTTGTGCTGGTTATGGCTTTATTGTGGCAGAGTGCCTTTTATAGCACTGGGCTTCCTGCCCATCGATGTTCATAGCTGGTTAACTAGGTTAGTTGTGATAACCAGAGTTTAATAGAAAGTGGGCGACTGAAAAATATCTAAAATACAAATAAATAATATATGATTTGTTGATGATGAGGAGCTAAATAAAATAGGACTTAAATTAAGGCCTCTTGGATCAATATGGATCAAAATTCTTAACTGTTGGTACTAGAGTACTGGGGGAGAATGTAGGCCGTTTCTTACGAGAAAGGAAAAGACCTTGGTGCTGGTGGTAGTTTAGAACATTGTTGATGGTTTAGAACATATGTTGGTGGTAGTTTAGAACAGTGAAATTGGGTATATGTCAGGCTCTTTACCTACTTGACTGCCTCCAGATCCCAATCTCCTAATTCTGAAGTGGAGCCCAGGAATATTACATTGTTTACAAGCACCCACAGGTGATTCTGGTGCATGACTAAGAGCTCTGTTTTGGGAGACACTGTGCTGAGAAACCCACTTGCCTGGGGGAAGGTGTAAATCATTTGGATTCTCCAAGGCAACTCATCATTCAGTGAGCTGGCATTGACTCTTCATCCCCTCTGTTCCCAGCACTGTTCTAGACACTGGGAACACGAAGATGAATAAGGTACTCCTCCTGTGAGAGGAGCTTTCAGGGCCCCTTGGTCAGCCTAAGTCTAGATTAGTGATTCCCTCATGCTGTGGCTCATCACCACGGGAATGGAAGAGGCAGAACCCTGACCCAAGACAGTGGTCAGAGCAGCTGGAGGTGTGTGGGTGGCCTAGAGAGAGAAGACTCACGTCTGTAATCGCTGAGACCCAGAGCTCCAGCAGACAGCAGAGGAACCGGGGCAGTCCCAGGGTCTGTGCCTGGCCAGAATAGGAAGTAGAGCTCAACGGGCTCTGAGTGGGCATTGGGCACCAGAATTGTTCAGAGAAGACATGGTAGCACCTGCTGTTGGCAGAAAGAGAATGCGCTCTGTGTCCTGGCAGCCTCGCTGGGTCCTGGCCCTGTGACTGGGGCACGTCAGTCCCTAGCACCTCCACGACTTGGGGCACTGGTACACGTTGGTCAGAGATGTCTGTCCTCCTGGAGTTGAAGGCCCTGAGGACAGGGACTTGGCTCTACTTCAAGTGCCTCGAACAGTGTGTAGAACAGAGTAAGGGTTCAGTGGAGAGATGGAAGCATTCGTTTTCTCATCAAACAAATGAGTGATTAACCTCTCCCAAGCCCCAAGTTTCCTTATCTTGTAAATGAGAACAGCTGTAGAACATTTCCTGGTGTTATTTCCTGTTCCTTTTTAGCCTAAAATGCCCATTTGATCCTCCCACGTAGTTGGTGTTATGGAGAAAACTGCCTTAGCTCATCTCTTTGAAATCTCTTTGTTGTGAAAATTCCTAAAAGTTCTCTGGCAGTAATATATCCTTTCTGACAAAAAATAGTCATGATACAGCATTTTATGTTTAGTAGAATTTTTTATTATTAAAATATTTTTATTCAAGTAAACTGTGAGCACTATCTGTACATCTTATTTGAAAGTTTATTAATTACATATTGTCAGTATGAAATTTTGGTATAAATCAATGCCTAGAGACCTAACAAATGCACAAAATCTTTGTTGAAGAAGGTGTTGAAATTTGAAATATGGATTTGACTCATTAAAAAATTCACTGACAACCCTGGCCATCCAATACTAGCCTGATGAGTTATGGAAACAAATACTGATTCTGTTCTCTCTCTTTCTCTTGAGTGATGGAGGGAACCAAATAAAGAAATTCCTCTTATTTTCCTTCTGCCTTGAAATTTTTGTCCATGTCCAACTAAATGTCTTCTCTCTGCCTTAGTCGTCACTGTTAGAACATGAAGGCATGGCTTCTCCCACCATCAGCATCGTTCATTAGAAGACAAACATTTGGGAGGTTGTTTGTTTGTTGTTGGAGGAGTAGTAGCAGGTTGGGTGGGAAAGAGAATTCTAGAGCAGTGCATGGCTCAACCATGTTTATGGGCTCCTGTTGCTTTCACATCCAAGGATGGTCTGCTCTCAGCATTGAAGTAAGTGTAAGATTCCAAAGTAAATAATTTCTGACTTTCTAGTCGATGTTTGCATTAGTTGTCTCATGCAGCCATAACAGATTACCTTTCTTGAAGCTTTAGTTGAGAATCCATTTCCTTGCATTTACTAGCTTCTAGAGGCCACTTACATTCCGCGGCTCTTGGCCTCCTTCCTCCATCTTGAAAGCCAACAGTGTTGTATCTCTGACCGTTCTTCGATAGTCACATCTCCCTTTCTCTCCCCTTCTGCTTCCTTCTCACACTTTTAAGGCCCCTTGTGATCACGTTGGGTAATCTCCCCATCTCAAGATTCCTAATTTATAATCACATCTGCAAAGTCTCTTTGCCGTGGAAGGTACCATATATGCAGGTTCCAGGGATTAGGATATAGGCATCTTTGGGGGGCCATTATTCTGCTACCACAGTATTCTCTGTAATCTTAGTTACTTCCTTTCACATGGGAAGCAGAACTGTGCAGAAGTCATATTGTGTCAGAACATGACCCTGCCACCTCACTCATCCGCAGGTCTCTGGCTACCCTGGTTCACATGGAATCCCAGCCATGGCTGGCAGCATCTACCCAGGTCAGGCATCTCTTTTGGACCAAACAGATTCATGGAATCATAGACCACAGGAGATATCAGTGTGGCAGCCCAACGTGGAGGTAAATTGGATATTCTTAGGCTTTGGTTTGTTAACTGATGAAGCTTTGCCCAAGGTACCTTTTATTTATAAATCCTAAGATTTCTTGATTGATGACCTAATTCTAAGACCAAGATACTCCTTTTACTCAAATGCTTTTTGGTTCTGTGAATCTTTTTTACAAAAAAGAAAGGAGAGATGCTACCATCAGTATCCCATTCATTTGAAAGGCAGAGCCCTATGTTGAACATATTAACATATACATGAGGCCAAGGAAGAACTGGGAAGACTGAGCCACCAGCTCTGTGGACCATGTTAATTTTTACTAAATTTTCATGGTAAAACCAAGAGCCACTCCTATAATATTAAAAATTATTTCTTCGAATCTAAGAACATCTATAGCTGTCTGCTATTCATGTTCTTTTCCTTGGAGTAAACATGTTTGATGACTGCTTCATACTCCATAATATATATCTATCATATTTAATCCTCCTGCTGTTATTTTACTTCCAGATGGTTTCCAGTTTTGTACTATAACTAATGATGCATTCTTTGCATGTATCTTGGATTATTTCTTTAGAAAAACTCCCTTCAAGTGGAGCTGTGAGCTAAACGGTTGTATCTGTTGTAAAGATGCTTGGCACATGGTAACTTGCAGCTTCCAGGAAAGTTGCTCCTTCATAAACAGGGCATGAGAGACCCTATTTCCACCACCTTTGCTGTTTTTCTTAGTTTTTTGGAAAGATACACAGAAAACAGTAGGAGCATCATAAATAGACTTCTGAGAGTGGATGTGCTGTTTTTGCCTCCTCTTCTAGGACTCCGCGGCCCTGGACCTGCGAGGCATCGGGCAGGTGCTGCCGACCCACCTGATGGAAGAGCGGCTCATCCGACAGCAGCAGGAGATGGAAGAAGACCAACGCTGGCTGGAGAAAGAGGAGAGATTTCTGGTAATTGTGTTTCAGAAAGGTTTCTTCCACTTTTTAAGCCCTGCTGGAGTCTACTATATTGCAAATGATCGCAAGAGTCCATTTTTTCCAAAGCACGAGAGTTAATAGTTTACATCTGGTCCCTAAAACTTGCAACATGGGTTATTTGCTTTTCTGGAATTATTTTTTCAGGATAAATTTCTAAGATTTTAGCGGTGGCATTATGGGCTCAGAGATGTGAGCATGTCTGTGGGTTTTGCATTACTACAGTGTTTATACAGAAACAACTCCCACTAAAATGTCGGCTTGCACGTAAAACTTTGTCTTGCTGCTGCAGGATGTGTAAACAGACAGCCAAGAATCCCAGGGTTTGCCTTCCTGGCATTCCTCTTCCTTGTCGTCTGACAGATACAAACCTCCTCCCACGTGTATCAGGAGTTGTGGGTGGGAAATGTCTTCCTCAGACAACTCTTGTCGACAGCCTCTCAGAAGTTCCCTGGGGACAGAGAGAGAGCGTTCTCTGTGTCTCATTTGACACAAGGGCCCTTTTGGACTCGTGGCCCCGCTGCCAAGCACTTCTGTGCCCTCAGCCTCAGAACCCACTCCCCCATCACCCCACATGGCTATTTCAGTCTTCCTGAAGTAGCCTGAAAAGAAAGATAGCTGAAAGGAACCAGGATTCTTACTGTTTCCACAAAACCTCGAGTCAGTAACTTTACCTGGATAGTCCAAAGCCAGTCCCTCATGTGCTGATTGAATAAACATCCCCTGAGGCCAACTGTGTCAAGCTCTACACTGAGGGACAAGATACCAATGAAGATAGGATACAACCCTGTTCTTAAATCGCTTAAGGTCTTACACAGAAACATTTAAATCAACACTTAATGGTATTATAATACTGGTTTCAAACTGTATTCTGCCAAATTCGTCAGTATGTGGTTCTGATTTCATTCTTTATATCTGGCTTTCTTATCTTAAACTGTAGTTTTAAACAAAGCAAGCTCCACAGTCAGACTTGGTGAAGCACATTGTTGGAGAGGCCAGTGCCCCCACTGCAGGACATACTGGGGCTGACCTCAGCGAGCCTGCCATCTCCGTGCACGTGTGTGCTCACATCAGGAGGGAGCTCTTTCTTGCCTTTTTTTAATTTAGGCCTACAGATGTCACCCCCCACTCCACACTAAGTGCACTGCCAGACGGAACTGCTGCACACTTACACGCCCTTGTTGCGGTCCAGCAGTTAGGATAATACATAATACCACATGTCAGTCACTGTCCTATGTATTTCTCACATAGAAAGTCATTCAGTCTTCACAACCATCCTATGAGGAAGAGACAGGACCAGAATCCTTGATCTGAAACTCTTGAGAGTTCTCGGTTCTTCAGAATTCACTGTGTTTTTAACTTTAGAAAGTTAAACTAATATGATACATGTGCTATATATGATGTAATACTCCAACAGCACCCCAGAGTTAAAAGCACTAATATTCCTGTAGTAAAACACCCGTGTTCACGTTAGCAGGTGTAAAGACAGACCTCATCAGCTCAGGTCAGGTTTTGCCACCACATTAGTTTGCTTCACATGTGAAAAAGCAAACAAACTTCTCACTCTTCAGTGCTTTTTAGGTTTTAGAAACAAGGGTAAGGGAATGTGAACCTGGCCCTTTATTATCCTCATTTTGCAGATGAGGAAATTGCCCAAGGTCACCGGCTAGTGTGTGGCAGAGCCAGAATTCACCCCAGCAGCCCCCGCCCAGGGTCTGTGGTCCTAACCAGGTCTGCCTGCTGCCCCTGGCACGTGCTCTCCTGCTGCAGATAGTGTGACCGCGCACTGAACCTGCCAGGCGTTCTTCTTCACATATATTTGCATTAAGGTATAGGAAATGTTGAGAGACATTGTGAGTGATTTACTTTTGGAACAAAAGTTTTATACTGGGGCCGGCCCTGTGGCTTGGTGGTTAAGTGCGCGCGCTGCGATGCTGGTGGCCCGGGTTCGGATCCCGGGTGCGCATGGAGGCACCACTTCTCCGTCCATCCTGAGGCCGAGTCCCACATACAGCAACTAGAAGGATGTGCAGCTATGACATACAACTATCTACTGGGGCTTTGGGGGGAAAAAATAAAATAAATAAAATCTTTAAGAAAAAAAAAAAGTTTTATACTGTACTTTCAGATTTCTAAATTAGTTACTTAAAGCAAATCTTGAGATTGTAAGGCAAGCTGCAAAAGATGGTTATTATTTACTACTACTAATCCGGGCGAATCTGTTTAGGTATTGAATCTGTTCTAAGAATATAACTGCTGTTCTCTAGCCCTACGTTTTAAACTTTTTGTCTAGACAGCCTATTTTCTCACATCGATTTGTTTTAAAAAGTAAATGTTACAGATTCTCCAAACTAGAGTTAATATTTTTAAATGTTGGTGTCTTGTGTACAATTGCATTTGGACAAAGGGTTCGCTACGAAGAGTGTGGAATGTGCAGCTGTGATGTTGCTCTGATGGAGTGCAGCGTGCAGCGAGAGCAGAAGAGGGCCCGGGAGTGCTTGGAGGAGTTGGGAAGGCTCAGAGTCGAGATCACGTTAGAGCCAGGGCTTAAAGAGGAATTGGAGTTTGCAAGGCAAACAGGCTCGGGAAATACATTCCAGGCAGAGGGAACAGCGTGTATAATGACACAGGTCGTAAGACTGTTGTCAGAACTGCCTGTGCCGGTGTGGCTGGAGCTTGTTACGGGAGCACAGTGGGCAGGTTCGAGCTGGGCTTGGTCTTCTGGCTCAAGACGTGCATTTACTCTGCTGGCTGGTCAGTGGTTGGTTTTTTTCTTTTAATTGAGATAATTTACATACAATAGACTGCACAGATCTTAAGTGTACAGTTTGATGAGTTTTTTTAAGTGCGTTAAGTCCATGTAACCCATACCCCACATGTAGAACATTTTTGTCACTCCAGATAGCTTCCAAATTATGTTCACCTATGAAGTTGTATGAAGTACCCCAAAGGGGTTTTGATCAGTGCCACATCACGTCTGCGGGATAACCTAAGTGGGGTGACATCCCCCGTGTACTTGTCTGCTTGGCTCAGAAGGACATTCCCCATGTTTGTTCCTGAATTCCTTTATTTCTCCCATATAGCTTTTATAACTTTAAGTACACGTCTTACTTCCCTTATTAAATTACACCCGTTCATTTAGAGCTTCCTGTCGCTGCTATAACGGTATCTCATTTTCATTGAGCTTTTTAGTTGTGTATTTCTCTGTGTGCATATGCAGTTGATTTTTAGGAATTTATCTTGTATTTTCCAATATTTATCACATGAAATCTTTTTGGCTGATTTCCTTGGATTTTCTGAATGCACAGTTGTTGCTTTTTAACACATTTTCTTTCTTTGTTTTCAGTATTTGTTATATACCTCATATTTCTCTCCTGAAACATCTCGTCAACTTTATATTAAATAGCTCCTTGCCTGCTTTTCCTACTTTTATTTTTAAAGCTATCTATAATAGTTTTCTCCATTAAGTATAATATTGACTCTATATTTTAAATATAGTATGTTTTTTAAAAAAAACTTTTAGGGGCCAGCCCGGTGGCGTAGTGGTTAAGTTCGAGTGCTCAGCTTTGGTGGCCCAGGGTTTGAAAGTTGGGATCCCAGGTGTGGACCTACACACCGCTCATCAAGCCATGCTGTGGCAGCATCCCACATACAAGGTAGAGGCAGATTGGTACAGATGTTAGCTCAGAGACATCTTCCTTCTCCAAAAAAAAGAAAACTTTTAAAAGGTTTAACATGATGCGTTATGTGGGACATTTTGCTTGGGTTTATGCTAGTCCTGCATTCCAGAGATAAGTCCCTCCTTAAGTTGTAACTGGTCATTCTTTTAAGGCTGTGTTATATTTTGTTTGTGATATTTCGTTGGAATTTAGTATTGATGTTCATAAATGAGAATGTTTCTTTATTGTCATTGTTGGTTTCAAGATCAACACAATATTGGTGTCGTGAGATGAGTTAATAATCCCCACCCCGTTTGATTTGGGTGTTTGTTAGGTAGATGTTGTAGGTGGTGGGACTAGCGAGCAAGTGGTCGGGCTGGGGGCCTGCTTCCAGCGTGAGTAACTGGGCAGACGAGTCATAACTTCACTGACAGGGGGACGAAGGCCAGGAGATGGGGGACAAGCAAATGCAAACATCCTGCCCGCGGCATTTTAAATTGGGATCTCTCTGAAATATTGTCCCCTCTAAGCTGTGTTTTGTGCCACAGCTGCAACGATATTTCTAAAACTCCAATCTGATCTTGTCATTCTCTGACTTAAAAATCTGCCAGGGGCTACCACAGGGTGACCTGGCCAGGGTCCTCCAGGCCTGTGAGCTGACCCTCCCAGCCTCCTTCTTGGCCCCTCTATTCTTCCTGTCCTCAAGGTCCAGCCCTCCTCTCCAGCCCCTGATTGTGACAGAGAGAACTGAGCACAAGAGGAGAGACACAGCACACAGGGCCATCAAGAAAGGCTAAGCAGCTGAAATGACAACAGGGGCCCAGCCCAGGAAGATCTGGGGAAGAACATTCCAGGGAGAGGGCACTCCAAGTGCAAGGGCCCAGGGCGAGGTGGGGAGGAGCCAAGTATGTCTGAGGATCAGAAAAATAGCCGCAGTGGCTGGAGTGCAGTGAAGGAAGGGCCCTTAGGCCATGGCAGGCTGGGGGGCCTGGGAAGTGGCAGGAAACAGAGCAGGCTGCAGCTCTGCTCTCAATGATTCTTCCTGTCCTGGAGTCTCCTTTTCAAGGTGTTACTGGAAAGAACCTAGACTTTGAAGTCAGCCAGAGAATGAAAAATCCTAGTCCTTATGACCCTACATGAGTTGTTTAACCCCTTCATGCTTTAATTTACTAATCTGTAAAATAATAATATCCTCTATAAAGTACAGGTAATACTTTTGTCATAGGGTTGGCTTGAGGATTAAATGTGTAACATGTAAACAGTGAAGGGACTAGGGAATACACAATTAATCTTTTCAGAGGGCTTTTAACTCCTACT